TCGGACGTAGATATTGATCTTCCATCTCTCTTTAAAGTATGGAAAGCTGTATCAAAGCAGCAGGACTTGACAATTTGCCGCCTGAAGTTTTCAAGGATGGAGGTAGGAAATCGCTAATTAAAGTGACGGAGACACTAGACAGTGTTTAGGAATCAGAGATATCCCCGTCAGACTGGACTACTTTACTGATCATCCCAATCTCTAAGAAGGGGAGAAATCTTCTTGTGACGACCATAGAGGAATAAGTTTGGCTAATAGTGTGTCCAAGGTCCTAGAGTCCATAGTTATCCAATACCTACCTGGAGCTCGAGAGTAGCAAACTAGGTAGATTTACTACCTGAACGATGGTGTATCGGTCATATATCCACCCTTCCTCAAGTTCTGAAACACAGACATACCTACCAGCCAATGGCTGATACTTGTCATATTTTTTGGCCTGAAGGAAGCATTTGATTTAGTCGATCGTGAGGTGTCGTGACAGTGTCTGATAGTGAAAGGAGTACCGAGGGATTATATAATGCTTATAAAAGATCTTTCTTCCAACTGACGCAGCCATGTCAGAGGATATGGGGAGTTATCTTCAAAATTGACGACAATTAAAGGTATCCGCCAATTATATTCACTGTTAACGTTCCTATTTAACTTTGTTATAGACATACTAATGAACATAACCTTAGGTACATCCAACTTTACAGGTGTTGACCTACTTCCTGAAGTTCAACTGGATGACTCAAAGTATGCAAACGTTGTTGCCTTGCTAGATGAAGACGGTAACGCAATGTGTTCTTCTGAACGCGATGAGCCGAATTCTGAGCATGTTTGGCATGCAGTTCGCACCTATCAAACGAAGTATGATACTCCAGGACTGGTCACCTGCAAGTACTCCCAGTTCAATGATACAGAGTGAAGTGTTGGTTGCTGACGAAATCTCAGCTCGGATAGAGATCCATTTGAGATTTGCCGACTTGTGTCATCTGTGGCGCCGAGTAGAAAGATTTCCTTCTATCTTAGGACGAGTATACTGCGCTGCAGCTCGTTCTATCCTGATATATGACGGTGAGCTATGGACGTTAAAAGTAGAAGATATGAAACGTCTACAGGATTTTGATCGCAGGTGTCTTCGTAGCATTGCTCGCATGTGGTGGATTCACTGTGTGAGCAATGTTGAGGTCAGGTGGAGTGTACTGGGCAAGAAAGGTTGGCAAGTCGAGTGATGAGGTTGTGAACCTTGGTCGACTGAGATGGACTGGACACATAGTGCGCTAGGGCGATGCTGACTACCTTTTTGAGGTCTCCGAGACTATAGGAATCAATGGTTGAGAACTTTTTGTGACGGTTGAAAATTTGTTACGATGGCGCAGTGTATTCGCTCCTTGACATCAACTTAAGCTTGAATATTCGCACTAATTATTATCTCCAGATTGTGTATTCTCCCACACAAATTTATCCAGTCTGGCAGCAGTCTTATTCTACGTACTTGTCTTTGTATGCTACTGTGAAGTATGGTAACTTAAACCAATGCAATTGTGTCGGAGGTTCTACGTTAACTTTGTCAGTCAGTCACTTACAGCCTTTCGATAAACAGGGTCAACAGTTATACAAGAAACTCATTTCAGTGCATGTGGATAATTATGACATGAATTCAATTTCGACAATGTAGAAATTTTGGACGGAAATAGGAAACACAAAAAATATCAGAGAATTCCTAGAAGCTTGGCATTCAAGTCAGTTAGTCAGCAATCAATGGATGTATAGACATAGATCCAATCTATCAACCAGTGAGAAAAGTGAGAGACGATAGAAATGTCAGAGGTGAAGCAGAGGAACAGCCAACAGAAAAATCTATACAGTCAGTCAATGACACAACAGTCGAAGGAAACAACCAATCACAAACCACTTCGTCAAGGCAAGCTACTAAATCATTGACGGAGAGATACTGACAGGTCACTTCATACTGAAGTTAGTGCTGATGATGTCGCTGTCTAGAAGGACGATGAAAGATTCACGATTAAATAACCCAGCTGAGAGAACACAATACAACCAAAACTTGTTAACTATCTGTTTATCTGTGAAACATTTGGGGTACATAGTTGGCATCCAAAAATCTACTTTGCTGATAGAATGAAAACTGTTTTACTATTCGTTCAGTTTTATCAGAGAAAATTCCCTTTTGAAACTTAGACAGCATATCGCACAAATACCAGACTCCAAGTTGATCTTACTTTGCATTCTACCATGGTATTTATAAGTAGGAAAAATATTTTTCCTTCTAGAAACAAAGTATTTTTGTATATAAGGTTGTGGCCCATTGGTCTAGCCATTCAATGCGTTACAAGTTGGAACCCAGCCACATTTAACAAGGTTTGGGTAGCCAGATGGTATTACTAACCATCTCACACATTAAGTGTGGCTTATTGCCAAAATGTACGAAATTGCTGAGTGGATTCCCAATTATTTCTGTATACAATTGAGTTTATTTTACTTTATATATATATTTTTTAACCTTTTTTCGATATATCGCTTGGGATAATAAAAAAAATTGATATTCACATAATAACTAAATAAGATGAAACATATGAAAAACTATTTCAGTAAATTGAGTGAATATGAATGAAGAAGTGAGTGATACCATCTGAAGGTATTAAATATATCAATCAGATATGCGGAACTTCATGGGCTTCTTCATGAATTCATTACCCGATCATAACATACTCCCTTGTAGAACTGAACAGAATGGTCACTGACGTAGTTTTCGATTTCCAAGTGTTCAGCACTAGTTGAAGTCAGTTGATCATGTCTACAATATGATTCCTATACTATACATTTATATAAATGACAATGTACAGGAGGTCAGTTATGTCCCAAATAACTCAGTGGTAATGTCGCTGACTGCAACACTGGGTGACGCTGGTTCAAATGTCCGATGGGACACCACTTCCCTGGAGGTTGAGTTGATCGTTATCCTGTTGTAAAAACATCATGCATTATCATGTCCTATTACTGTTTAAGAGTTAAACCAATTGTCATTTAACAATTTTATCCAACTCTTAGAGGGAACACCAATATCTTCTGTGTGTTCACAATCGATAATAGTTACGAGAAAATAATGGAAAAAATAAAAGGCTAGAAATGGTCTATACGGTCTGACTAACTTATACTCAAGTCATACACCATGAATTGATTGTTACTCCTGTTCTCGAGATGTGTGGTTAAAACAAACACAGTCCTTTCATATATGTCAATGTGACACATCCATCTGCAGCTACTTCATAACAATACCATGTAGATTTTCCTTCGGAATCCATCACCCTATAATGAGTAACGAAGTCACTTATTCCATAAAAACAAAGCTACAATAATGACGGTAATCGGAGATTAATAACTAGTGAAATACACCACTGAACAATATGAGAGGTTAGAAGGCAACAACATTGATCTATAGTATTTTACCAGCCAGATCACAATGATCTAAACACTGGACGGCTCTATTTCACTCATTTGAGGAGATAGAAGTAATCAACAGTGTACCTGAATAAATTGAGCTCACAGACCCGGATTAGGCGTATCACCTGATTCTAGCTAGCTGACTGGGATAATAAATTTGTAAATAATTTACAAATTGCACGATATACGTTAACACCTCTCAGCGCTGAGTAGTTTGTTAACTGTTCAATTATAAGATCAACACAGTCTAGGTTGGAAAAACACTAAGCCAAAATCATGAGGTATGATCTCTGAAACAAACATATACCATGAAGTCGAATAAATAAATTCAACTTTTAAACTCCGCCATATGATGCACCAAATACTTTATTCTTCTTGACATTCATAAACAAAATGTAGACATCTTTTGATAAAGAATAAGACTGTCAGTAAGAGACATACAGTCAACATTCTAGGTGATAGATTAGAGGGGAGAAAAAGAAAAACTACAAAGAAATTATCTCAAGTTGTTATTCATCGTAGACTGACATCAGTTGGAGGAACAAACGAAACCTGGGAGTACTGGACAGCTTGTTTTGTCCTAGTATGGGACTCCTCAGCAGTGCGCATCCACGACCTGTCCAGGGATCGAACCCGCGGCCAGCGCGTGACCATTGGATTCTGACCCAGTTGCCAGCTCAATGGTAACGTGTTAGCCATGGAACCTGAAGGTCACGGGTTCGATCCCTGCTGGTGGGGTCGTGGGTGCGCACTGCTGAGGAGTTCCATGCTAGGACGAAACAGCTATCCAGTACTCCCAGGTTTTCTTTGTTCCTTCAACTGATGTCAGTCTATGATGAATAACAACTTGAAATATTTCCAAATCTCAACAACTCCCTCAAAATTCAGAAGAAATTATCATTTTGTGTAAATAAACAACCAAAATCTATAATGATTATTGAAACAAGTAGAACTGACCAATAGTTTCAATTGCATAACGAACACATATTCTTACAAACAAGAATGGAATACTTTCAAAAATAAGAACGATAAAAATGCATTAAAAGGATTGTTGAAATATATAATAGTTGTGTGTATTCCAACGGTTCATCATTGTTGTAATGAAGCAGAAGATTATGCAATTGTCACACACAGACACACACACACACTTATGTACACACATACCACAAAGACATATACGAACCCCACCTTTTCATTTTTCTCTAACGATTGTAGGCACTTTGAAAATGATTAAGGGATATTAATAACCTTGGCGAATGATAAAGAGCGTCAGGTCAGAAACCCGACGGTAGGCCAGTTCGAATCCGGTTACAGTCCAAATTTTCACTTCACTTTCAATTATCACCCAGGATAATAAAACAACAAGAAGTTGAAAGAAACAGGATATAAAGGATTAATTGTATTGAATCATTCAAATATGACGAAGATGTATCACAGTAGGTTGCAGTACTACTATCACTTACAACAATAGTGTAATGGCGATCGTTTTATGATGATAATGGAGTTATAAGATGCAGAAATCCATATTACTTCAAAGCAGATTACAATATCATGAATTATACCGTCTCTAATGGCATTAATCGTTCTAAAAATATCTTTAGTGCAATTCGATTATTTTGTAATTTCATGAGAGTTATTGCTAGTTCTTCATTGATTTGACTAACCTCATCACATTGACACTTCAACATTTCCACACTGTCAATAAGCAGATATGATTCTATAGGTCTTTGAGAAGAAAAAAAACAAACAAAAGTATAGTAAAGAAAAGAGATACAGGATTTTATGAATTGAACAGAGAACTTGAATGCCTATCAATTAAGGGGATATTTTTAAAAATACTGATTAAGAAATATAATACATGGAAATTGGGTATTATGATAGAGTGGATAACAGTATACTACTTTAATGATGGATCGTGGTTAGCAGTGGAATCCAGGATGCGCATCTCATCCTATTTGAGACTCATCAGTTGGATGTACCTGCTTCCCAGTGACTGATGTTATTCCCACCGGGATTCGGACTCGGGAGCGATCGCTTCAAACGTCAGTGCGTTATCCACTACACCACTAAGCAGGTACATCCAGCTGATGAGTCCCAAATAGGACGAAATGCGCATCCTAGATTCCACTGCTAGCCACGATCCATCATTAACATAATTAGAACGCTGGCAATATCGAAGCATTTGCACAGGAGCCCATATGCTAATAGAGACCGATCAATGCGGTCCAATCAACAACGGTATCATATAAAAACAATTATAGTAGTATACTACTTAATTTGCTAGATATATATAGTATACAATATAACAAAACTATTCGCTGGATAGTACAGTTGGCTATTTGTAATTCTATCAGGACCATACCACAAATTTATGGCTCGATTTTTAGAGTTCTTAGTTGTTTGCTTTTAAACCTCAATGTGAATACAATCTTTAAGACATCTGAAAGTATGTTGATATTGGGTTGATTAAATGAATAGAGATGTCATTGTAGATTTCCTCCCTCTGACTAATTGGTTTTAAAGATAATCAATTTATTCCACCGTAAACAAGGTTTCTTTTGGAGGTTCAAATGAATGAAACGGTCACCTAGTGTTTAAAATCACCTTGATATATGATTAGCAGAATATGTAGGCTAGTATCATTGATCTTGGTTGGATAGTTCTTAACGAGAAATCATTGTTGACAGTATAGCTTACAAGTGTTAGTCCTTTCGAAAATATGTACTCACCATTTAACAACATTAGTGGTATTTATTTCAATTATCATGTAAACGAGTGAAAGGTTATCGTGCTAATATATTATTATTGTTATTATTATTATATCTCCCCGAGGTTCCTAGTGGAACATACGGCTTCAGTAGCACGTCGCCATTCCACTCTGGTCGCTGCAGTCTTTTCAACCTGACTACACTACTGTCCACAAGCTTTCATTTCTTTCTCTGATGATCTTCATGTCACTCTTGGACGCACAACTAGTCGTTTCCGCTGCGGATTCCACTCGAGGGCCTGGCCTGACGCGTGATGTTCCCCAATGGTCTTTCTCAGTGCATGCCGAATCCAATTAATTTCCACTTTCTTCTACTGCATTTTTGTTAGGTGACAGGTTCTTGGTTGGTTCGTTCCCAAAGTTCCCTGTTGCTTATTCTGATTATTCTGGCCATCTGATCTCCATCTTCAGTTTCGAGCCAGCGTAGGCAGGTGTTGATGAATGTGTGTAGTTTGTTGGAAGTGTTTTGCGTAACGCACTGCCAAATTCCTGAACCATCACACAGAAGCACTGACTTGACGTTGGTGTTGAAAATCCGGATGTCGTTCACGTTTTATGCTGAATGCAGTAGATCTCCACATTGGTTTCAGATTAACCAACGCCTGTCTTGCTGTCTTTCGATCCTGGCTTCGATGTCCTCATCTGTGCCACCTGTAGTTGAAACGATGCTGTCTAGGTAGGTAGGTGGGTAGGTGGGTAGGTGGGTAGGTAGGTAGGTAGGTAGGTAGGTAGGTAGGTAGGTAGGTAGGTAGGTAGGTAGGTAGGTAGGTAGGTAGGTAGGTAGGTAGGTAGGTAGGTAGGTAGGTAGGTAGGTAGGTAGGTAGGTAGGTAGGTAGGTAGGTAGGTAGGTAGGTAGGTAGGTAGGTAGGTAGGTAGGTAGGTAGGTAGGTAGGTAGGTAGGTAGGTAGGTAGGTAGGTAGGTAGGTAGGTAGGTAGGTAGGTAGGTAGGTAGGTAGGTAGGTAGGTAGGTAGGTAGGTAGGTAGGTAGGTAGGTAGGTAGGTAGGTAGGTAGGTAGGTAGGTAGGTAGGTAGGTAGGTAGGTAGGTAGGTAGGTAGGTAGGTAGGTAGGTAGGTAGGTAGGTAGGTAGGTAGGTAGGTAGGTAGGTAGGTAGGTAGGTAGGTAGGTAGGTAGGTAGGTAGGTAGGTAGGTAGGTAGGTAGGTAGGTAGGTAGGTAGGTAGGTAGGTAGGTAGGTAGGTAGGTAGGTAGGTAGGTAGGTAGGTAGGTAGGTAGGTAGGTAGGTAGGTAGGTAGGTAGGTAGGTAGGTAGGTAGGTAGGTAGGTAGGTAGGTAGGTAGGTAGGTAGGTAGGTAGGTAGGTAGGTAGGTAGGTAGGTAGGTAGGTAGGTAGGGGAAAGAGGCTACTTCCTTTAGGTTCTTTTTGTTAATGGTGATTGGTGCCTCTTGTTGTTGATGCGATTGTTGGTTGGATATCTTCATCACCGTTATCTTCTCTACGTTCACTTGAAGTCGCGTCCTTGTTGCTAATATATTGCATACTTCCAATAACGATTATCTTTCGATTATATTGGCTTACTTCAACCGACACACTCCTATGCGAGGTTCTACGTTGATGTCAATTGTTAATTTAACCAAACAACATTTACCATAGGTGGTAAACTTATTGTTAAGTCCCATAAGATGACTAAGAATATGAAGCGGTCAAAAGTGTCAAGGAGTGAATAAAACTACGCCATTGTGACTCATTTTCAATCAACATCGTCCCATACGACTCAGGCCGATAGTAAGAGACTTAATCGACTGGTGTCACATATTGGTTAAACCACCGTGAACCCTTTTTCCGACCTCATACAGTGAATCCACCAAAGGCGAGCAAGGCTACGAAGACATTTGTGATTAGAACCCTGTAATAGTTACACATTTGTTCTACTTTCGACGTCCATGTCTCAGCCGTACAACAGAAAAGAACGGATTGCACTGTATTATACACCAAGACTCCTCAATTAATGATTTCTTTCGTTGGACGTTGGAATTGTCTGTTATCGGAAGGTTTCTAACCATCTTGAGAACCCTACATTTTGGCACCTTAAGTAGAGTGAGGCCATACAACCATCATTCTACTGTTTCAAATCAATGGTCGGATTAGGCATGACTGCTTGATTTCACCATTTCTCTTTTACTTTCCCATCGATGGCATTCTCACGACAGCTCTGAAAAAGATGCATGATGTTCATATAGATTTGCAGACGATATCGTTTCACAGTGTGACAACATACAGCCTACTCAAATCGCACTTAATCAGTTAGCAGTCAGTGTCAGTATGATCCGTGCTTTACACTATCATATTACAAAGCACTTCTACGAAATTGACCAGAGCCTGTATTTGCACCGACTCTTAATGCTGAAATGCCAAAAGTCGTTGAAAAGTTTATTTACCTGGATACTTGTATGAGTGTTGGTGGTTGTGTGGCTGATCAGATTTCCAACCGTATGTCGAAGGCGAAAGTCTTGCCTAGTACCCTTCACCTAACCTAAACATTGTTCACAAGGTGAATCCACTAAACACGAGCAATGCTATGAAGATATCTGTGACCAGAACCATGTAATCGCTACATGTCTTCTACTTTTAACATGCATATCTCATAGCTGTATATCATGACAGGACAGAATGCAGCGCAGGATACTCATCCCTTGATTATAATTATTTGTCCCTTGGGTTCCTAGTGGAACATAGGTCTTCAGTAGCGTGTCTCCACTGAACTCTCTTCTCTGCAATCTTTTCAACCTGCCACCACGACTACCCATAAGTTTTCATTTCTTCGTCATACCATCTCCTCCATGTCACCCTCAGCTGGGACGCCCAACTTGCCGTTTCCCATCTGGCTTTCACTCGAGTACCTGGCGCGTGACGTTCCCGAATGGTCTTCTCAGTGCATGCCCAATCCATCTCCACTTCCTTCTGTATACTTGTTGAGCGATAGGTTCTTGCTTTGTTGGTTCGTTGCCAGAGTCAAAAATTTTGACGGTCGGCATCACAGATGACGCAAATATCAAACGGTTTAGGAATTGTACATTCAGAATGTATTTTGTCGACTAAATGTTCACTTTTTATTGTAATCCAGTGGAGTACACTTCTCTTTTCTCGCTGAATCAGGTAGTTTGATGTTATTGGCGTAGTAAGATCAAATTATAACACTGTAAACTAGTTGAAAAATGAACATTTCTTCGTTCTGTTAAGTACAGGACCAAATAACGAAGCTTTAAATTGGCGTTATGATAGGCAAGCGGCAGTTATACCCTCAGGTTAACAATGCAACTAAACGATACTGTGGAAACTTTTAAAAAAATGTGTTGAAAATTACATCAAACGAAAATAATTGCTCACACTTACTTAACCTCCTTTTCATCAAGTGTGGTTGTTAGTGGTGAAGTAATTTCCTATGTGAATAAAGAAAATATTAATGTGATACATAGGTGAACTGAACTGGTTTCAACTTGGTATTCATCACGGACTAACATCAGTTGGAGAACCATTGAGAAACTAGGAGCAATGCAGAGCTGTTCTATTACAGTATGGCACTCCTCGGCAGTGCGCGCTCAACCCCGCTAGAGACCAAACTGATCTCCTGAAGTCTAGCCAAGTGGCTCAACGGTAACCACTGGCGATAGAATCTGAAAGTGCTATGCTTGAGCCCTTGCAGGAGCATGGGTGCATTATACAGAAAAGTTGTCAATTATTATTATAATCATCATCATCAATATCAATACAGGACCAGGCATTATTGCGTAATGGTCCAAGTTGCTATTACCTCATGTCATCACATCAAGTAACAAGGCAACAAAATGAAAGATGAGGAAATACATTCCCCCTACACAACGTTTTTAGTCTGACCACCATGAGCTTGTTTTCAGCCTGAACGAACTTCAGCTAACACTAAATAACAAAGTAGGCAGTGGCTGAACATGTATAACATGATATTTTTTGTGTTTCCTCTCTCCGTCCAAAATTTCTACATTGTCGAAATAGAATTCATGTCCATAGTTGTTATCCACGTGCATTGTTATGTGAGATGAAGTGTCATGACGTTTAATAGCCAATTAGTGTTCATGTAAATGAAGGTGAAGAGGGTGATCACTTTGTCCAATATAATGTCGATTACAACTGTAGTAACAATTGCAGTTGATTTTGCAAATGATATTCGGTTTGTCTTCTTTGGTTGTTGGATCCTTTGGTCTGCATAATAATGTTTGCAGGGAATTTGTTGGGTTATGAGTCACACCAATTCCACCAAGTAGGATGGTGCGTTAATCGATTTCTGTCGTTGGTATTGTAGTTGATGATGTACGGGATAGACATCTTCTGATAAATTTTCGTGGGTAGACGTTCTACTTTAGGATAGACATCAAGTAGTTTTCTTCGTTTCTCTGTGAAGTTGCGTTGTACTGCAGTGTGTTCTCGCTCTTTTGAATAGAGTTTGCACGTAACTGATTTTGTGCGTTGTTGCTACTGTAGCTCAAGATTTGATCAGTGTATGTTGGCTTCCTGTACACTTGAGTTTCCAGTTTTCCAGCATTTGTCCTACTGACTAAAGCATCCAGGAATGGTAGTTAGTTGTTTGACTCCTTCTCTACTGTGAATTTGATGTCACTACAGTAGGAACAACCCAACAACGCACAAAATTAGTTGCATGCAAACTCTATTCAAAAGAACGAGAACACACTGCAGTACAACTCAACTTCACGGAGAAACAAAGAAAATTACTTGATGTCCACCTTAAAGAAGAACGGCTACCCATGAAACTTTATCACCAGATGCCTATCCTCTACATCATCAACTACAAAGTCATCGACAGAAATCAATAAACGCATCACCCTACCATTTTGGCTACAGCACTAGCTGGTATATGTTTAAATTTTTAAGGGGACATTCGTTTTTCTCGGTGAAATATACACTTTGATTAAGTGATGAAAACAAACAGATCTGAAAGTCACGATCAAGGATTTCTGCCGACTATCTCCAACTATATAAAATAAAGTAATACATTAAGTGTTTACCATGACAGTAATACTGAAAGATTAGATCACATGAGATGAAAATAATAGTAATCGATTGATAGACTGAATGTGATATGATATAAGGCCAGAACTATCCACTGATTGTACTCACGTTGTGACTAAGTACTTATACAGAAAGCTGTCAAACTAGTCACTATGAACAGGTGGTTCAATGGTAACGTGTTCATCACGAAACCTTACGATTATCAGTTCGATCTTTGACGAGGTCATAGGTGTATACTGCTGAAGAGTCCCATAGTGAGACGAAACAGTTGTTCAGTGCTCACAGGTTTTAATGGTTCTCCAACTGTATCACTTGATATTTACTGTGACTAATGAAATCACTAACAAAAACTAAAAAAAGTATAAATAATCATAGAATTTCGATAATAAATAACTTTAAAAGACTAACCTGTTTATCATTTTCTAGACTATATTTTTGTACACTATTATCCACAGAGTTAATATTAGTCATAAGTAATAAATTCGCTCTAGGAGGAGGTGGTGGTGGTGGTGGTGGAGTTTTCATTGATATTGGCATTGATAAATGATTATGAGTGAAATGAGATGGAATCGGTTCAGAATGTTGAGTTTTTAATAATGTAGAAGATGATTGTTGTTTACTCTTATCTGATATTTTGTAAATATGTGGTAATGAAGTGATACTGGACTCTATCATCACCGGATTTGTTGTACTATAAAATGCATTTCTATAGGGAAATGATATGTTCTAGTAAAATCATTTTGAATATCACTACACACTTGAGAATTATACACTGAATTTGTTTCAGGAATTATACTTGAAGGTAGTGTTCGAATCCTTAACGGGATAGGATGTTTCAACTGAAAGTAAAAAGAAGATAAGAAAGAATAAGTAGATTATTTACAAGTATTGGTTTTAGTCACTGGAGTAATCATACCATATTGAGTAGCAATTTGAGAATGTTTGAGATGCGTTTCTCACGACCCAAATGCAAATTGTTGCTCCAGGATTGGTCTTCAACGGTGCCGCACCGTGGCTAACAACAGAGAGTGCAATGGTTGAGTGTGTTGACCACTTCACTTACCTAGGAAGTAGGATCAACCTTGGAGGTGGCTCAGTCGCCGATGAAATCTCTGCACGAATACAAAAGACTCGATTGGCTTTCGCCAGCTTACGCCACATGCGGTGCCACCGTGATAACCGATTGTCTATTAAGGGTTGCATGTACTCCACAAAAGTCCACTATATAGCTGTGAAACATACCCATCCAATGTGGAAGACATGAGAAAGCTGGCTTCAGGTGTTTCACCACCGTCACCTTCATACTATAGACCGTATTCCATGGTGTCATCACGTGAGTAACGCACAAGTCATGCTCAGGTGTAGAGTTTTAGTTAGCGAGAAGAGGTAAATCGGTTGACACAGTTGTGAACCTTCATCGACTGAGATGGATGGCTCGGACATGTGTGTTGCATATGCATAGTCGCCGATTGCCTTATCACACAATGTCGGTCGAAGTAGGTCCAGGTTGGAAAAAGGCTCGAAACAGTCAGATTAAAACATAGTACCAATGTATGAAGTCGCTGACTGTCGGTTTGAGCCATATACAGCGATGCAAACTGGGTGGTTGGCGTCCATGGGACAAGAGGAACCAGTGAAGCATAGGAAATCATCTGTCAGCAGAGGTCGAGCGATTCCACCTCGTATAGTAACGGGATATTACAAGTATCAAACAAAAACCGCCTGTTTGTTTGTTCATCTATGCAATTTATATTCATCATTGACAACCACACTGTATACGCTAACTTTAATTTGAATGACGTATACTTTGAACAATGATGATATCCAACAAGAGGAACCAGTGGTTGGAGACTGTACGTGATCACACGGCTGAGAACGGATGTCAGTGGCGTAGATGTATTCATACATTATCCTCATCTTAACGACGCTATACCGAATCTCACCACTTTCTCACTCTTCATTTCTCTCTTTTCGTACTTTATATTTTTTTTGACTGCATTCTCTTATCTTGCGCCTCACTGCCTTTTTAGTTGGTATACTGATATGAGGTGTGGCAACTCGGACGGTTACGCAGTAATGCCTGGTCCTAGGTTGATCTGGATGGATGGAATGACACCAAGAAACCATCACTCACTTCTGTGTTGAAGGATAGATGTAAGAAAATCACGAAGATAAGTTAGATACCTAGACTGAGCAGACCTGATTGTATGGTGTCACTCAAACCGGTACACGTTTATCTATGAAGTTATGAGTTTCACTTGATGTATGAAGGCTTATGATACTACCTGATTGGCCAGGTCGAAGTGGATGGGGAGAAGATAGAACCCGGAACTCAATGTTTGAAGGTCGAGTTCTTGAACCGATGAGCCACATCTCCACTCACATATGACTTATATGAATTCCTCAAAACATACGGCGATACACAAAATGCTCAAAAGCCAATCTTTACAACTATCGAGTTGGTAAATTTAACAACTTAAAGCGAAATATATGCTTATGATAGTATCAAAAAAGCGATCATAGACAGTTCAACCCCTAAACTTTGCCCACGATATCAAATTACCAAAGAAAGAGATACGAATTTAAATTACTCAACAACTAATTAAGTGAAGCTAGATGTGGCTCCATGACTTAAGTGGTCAGTTTTCACCCAATGGATCCTAAATTCGAGTAGCTTAGTGTACAAAACTCACTAGTGGTTGCTAAAGCTATCAAAGAACGAGTACACTACGCTGCAGTTCTCATCCTGTCAAGTTGTACGGCTGTTAAACATGGCCGTTAAAAGTAGAAGACACGAAGCGGTTAGAGGGTTTTGATCACAGGTGTCTGCGTACAATTACTTGGGTTCGGTGGAATCACCGTTTGAGTAATGTTGAGATCCGGTGAAGGGTACTAGGTAAGAAAGCCTGGCAAGTCGATTGATGAGGTTGTTAAACTTAGTCGACTGAGATGGCTTGGATATGTTTTATGCATGGCGAGCCACCGCCTACAACGACGTACCATGCTAGGGGAAGCTGGACTAGGTTAGAAGAGGGTTCAGGGTGGACAGACGATGATGTGGCACTAATCGATAAAGTCTTATACTGTTGGCCTGAGTCTCACGTGGGGTAATGTAGGTAGACTGCCTGTTTGGGATCCTCAAGACGATAGAAATCAGAGGTTTAGGACACTTGGTGATATGGCTAGAAATCTGTCACAGTGGAGTAGATGTATTCACTCCTTGACGTCTTCGAAAGCTTGAACATTTGCACTAACCGTTATCTTCAGATTGCTTATTGCCCCTTTATTCTATGCATTTGTTCCTTGTATACTGCTATGTAGTGTGGTTACTTGGAATGATTCACTTGTGTGCAAGGTTTTACGTTGATTTTTTCTATCTCTCTATCATACAATCTCTGATAATACAACGCTGAAATTAAGACTTCTGAAGGCCCCACAGACTCCAGCTTTACCAACAGCTTAAGATGTGACATGTGCTGGAACACAGTCATACTTACCGATGGCCAACACTTGCCATATTATAGGTTGAAATTCAGCATGGACTGACATCAGTTGGAAAAACATTAGAAACCTAGGAGCACTGGACACCTGTTTCGTCCTTGTATGGGACTTCTCAGCAGTGCACATCTATGACCCAGGACCTTCTGGTTTCGTAGCCAGCACATTACCATTGAGCCACTGGGTTGGAATCCAATGGTCCATATTTCCTACTTCTGTCAGTTCATGATATAGCGCGACCTACATCCAGTGTTGTCATTGGTAACGCACTGGCCATGGAACCTGAAGGCCTTTGGTTCGATCCCCAGGGGGTGGGGTCGTGAGTGAGCGCTGCTAAGGAGTCCCGTATTCGGATGAAACACCTATCCAATGTCCCCAGGTTTCCAATGTTCCCCCAAATGATGTTAGTCCATGATGAATTCCAACTTAAAATCAATTTATAAATCTCCACGAACCTCCAGATACAACTTGCCATATTTGACCTGAAGGTAGTATTCGACTCTTTCGACTGTAAGGTGTTGTGGCAGTGTCTGACTGTGGAAGCAGTACGGAGAAAGCATATAACGCTAATTCAACCTCTCTACTGGAAGTCACGTAGCCGTGTCAATGCTTATGGAGAATAGTCAACTGAAATGAGAGCAACTAATGGTTGCCGCCTGGGATGCAAACTATCACCGTTCGTTATACACACATTAATGGACATACCTTAAGTACTTCTGACTTCATAGGGATTGATCTACTCCCTAAAAGTCATCTGGTTGTCTTGGAGTACGCAGACGATATTATCCTGTACGGTGAAGACGGTGACAAAATGCACGGTCTTCTGGACGCGTTGCGCGGAAATTTGAGTATGTTTGGCATGCGTTTCGCTGGCACCTATCAAATATAAGACGATGCTCCAGACATGAGTGGCGTGCGACCACTTTCAGCTTAATGATAGAGAGTGATGTGATGGAATATGCTGGGGAGTTTTAGCAACCTGAACGAGCTGGTTGGTGACGAAATCTCAGCTGGGATACAGAGGGTCCATTTTGGATTTGCAAACTTGTCATCTGTGGCGTCGACTGGCGAGATTTCGCTCTATCTATCTTCGGACGAGTATACTGTGCTGCTGTTCGTTCTGTCCTGATATACGACTGTGAGATGATCGTTGATAGTGGAAGATATGAAGAGAATACAGGTTTGTGACTATGGGTGTTTTCGTAGCATAGCTCGCATGTGGTGGAATCCTCATGTGAGCAATGTAGAGCTTAGGCGAAGGGTAATGAGTAGGACGAGATTGTGAACTTCTATCGACTGAGATGGCTTGAACATGTGTTACGCATGATGAGTTACTGTATACCTCAAAGTGCAATGCTAGGTGAAGTTGGATTAGGTTGGAAGATGGCTCAGGATGGCCAGTCAGTCCAAGAAGTCTCTGAATCTTGGTCTCAATCGTGTAGAGAGGTGTTGGTTACCGGTTCGAGATGATCCTGGTTACAGAAATCAAAGGTTGCAGGTTCTTGGTAAAATGACTGAAAATCGGTCACAAAGGTGCAGATGGATTCACTCTTTAATGTTCTTTAAAGCCTAAATATTTTTACTACCCTGAATATTCAAATTATCACTTCTTGCATTCACCTCCGTTTAGGTCGATAACAATCATTTTCTATTCCCATACATTACGCATGTTAATGTAGTGTGAGAACTCGAAAGGGAGCACTTCTCCTTGAAGTTGTACGTTAATCTTGTCTGCATGTCTTTCTTGTAGATTACATTAAGCCTCTGGAAGTTCTTCACAACTTCCTCATACCCACCGGTTTATCCCTGCCCACAGTCTCCTACGAAAGAAGTTACAGGAACATTATGAAACGGAAACGTCCTCGTTTCCAGAACACATGAGTGAGATGGAAACTGTTGCCAAATCCAATAGACCCTAGTAGAAAGTCAAGTGACACTGTGTGTGAAGGTGGTGCAGATCCACTACCACCTAAAACACATTTCCATCTGAAGTATGTCAACTGCACTATCACACTGCATCACGATATACAAGTTCTCTAACTCACACTTTGAAGATTCGTCACGAATGCCCGTCAAACTACACCATTCATATCGCTCCAGAAAACTTAAAAGCATTTTCACAAGCTTACCAGGATCCTGTACCTACCTCCATTCACACTTCCATATAAACCATCAGAAGTAGACTAAACGTTTGTGCCCATCAGTAGTTCACACACTGTTCAAATTACACTGTTCTCTAATTTTAGGTTTTTGTTGCAAAACCGATTCAAGGCCAGACAGACACAAACATCACAAAAAGGTGGAGAGAACTGACTGACCATGGATATCTACAACATGGTAACCTTTTTGTTCTTTTCGTATCTGAAGCTGAGGGGTTGACACTCCGACGCATGCCTGAGTAAAGTACACTGAAGTTGACTTCTTCAAATGAACTGACGAAGACAGTGAGATCTGACTGGTTCACGTTTCTGGTCTCAGACGACGAAGTGGCATATTATCAATAACCATCCATAGTCAACTTTCTCGTGAAGCACTCAGAACGAATTCCGACATAAAGTGAAGCGTTTACCAAGTGAAACGCTTACTCATAGTACAGCTCAATCCAAACATCAACAATATGACCTGAGAATATTCTGCATCATTCGTACTAAGAACAGTGTTGGTGGATGCATGACAAATGATCAGAGTAGCACACGCCAATCTGGGTAACCTTCGGGTCTTCGTGATGCAGGCATTGTTGTGAAAGGTCAGGTGTACAGCTCAATGGTGTTACAACCTGTGAATACTGTCATCTCCAAGGTCTATAAGTCCACTAACTCTGTATGTTCAATTACAATCACCTTCGAAGGATTGTTCACATCTACTGAAATCACTATGTAAGTAAGTATAAAGTGCAGCATTGCCTGTTCGGATATGATAGAATTCATCATTCAGTCAATGAAGGCAACTTGGAACAATAGTTTCAACAATTTCCTTATGTGTCACACAAACTGTACCCATACTAATCGTTGTTTGGCAGCTCTAAGGATGATTAAGAAGAAGAGGAGAGGTGACCAGTGTATATCATAGTACCATAATCTGAAATTCAGTTGTGTTGTGTTAGCATTTGCTAGTAATTCAAATCTTCTTAAGTATATTCCAAGATATCACAAGCAACTCAATGAGTAAAGATGACATCAGATATATCTCAAATGTACTGATAGCTTACAAAGATGTATCTTGTTAAACTGGTTGTTAGATCACTAGAGTTTCATTTCATGATCTACCCAGTTTTTATCATCAACTTTATGATTTTGTGATATTACGGTATTTTACACGTTTATCACAAGTGTGTATACTGTACCAAGTTTATATGTCTTAGAAAAATAAAATACTTACTCAAGTAATAAACAGATAAGTGAATGAAGTTCAGTAACGTAGCATCTTACTAATTGACTAGCAGGCATTGTAATTCAAAGCTATTTAAAGTGAAATATGTTAAAAGAGTTATGCAGCTTAGAAAAAAAACAGTAATTAGTCTATGCATAAGCTTATGTATATATTCTAGAATGAAATATCACTCTTTGAAAGAGAGATAGATAGACTGTTCAACATTGAAACATTGAATTATCCTGCATTACTAATCATCTATACAAAGCATTATCTTTAAACTTCTAAATTCTTCAATTTAATCATGTTACATGTTAAGTGTAAACAATAAAACAAATTATATATGAATTACTTGTGCATCCATATTTGGTTTCGATTCAAACAACATCATTCCTTCAGCTAGTGAGCATATATCACTTTGACTTGATAATGACCAACGTCTTTGCTGTTGTTGTTGTTTCATTTCAATGGAATTCATTGGATAAATTATTCCAATTGGAGATAGATTTGTAGTAGTTGTTTGAATATCATGGTTCAATGATATTGTCTGGTAATCGGATATAGGAAGAGAAGAAGGTGATTGTTGTAAACAATCTGATTGTTGACAATTATTAGGTGTATCAATTGATTTATTCCCTGTTGAATTGATATAACTGCTTTGTTTAAACGAATTCAATGTACAATCAGAAATAGTACTGCCAACTGTACTTGTTGTTGTTGTTTGTGGTATTGTTTTCGCTGATAACCAATTACTTTCTACTAATTCTAGTAGAGCTAAAGGCAGAGTATTAGGAATTGGGACACCATTCAATCTATACACAACTAAATGCATTGCAACACAAAATTCACCTAAAGTTAATTGTCCATCACGATCAAGATCGGATAACTCCCTGTAAAAAAAAACAAAATAAAACAATCATTCTGTTAATAGGCAATTGATAGCAACACTAAGAAGTTGTATATGCTTGCGGCATTCATGCCCCCATGGCTACTTTGGCGTTTGAAACCAACTTATATCACCCATGACACCGCTATGATAACCGATTGTCTATTAAGGGTTGCATGTACTCCACAAAAGTCCACTATATAGCTGTGAAACATACACATCCAATGTGGAAGACATGAGAAAGCTGGCTTCGTAGTATAGGCCGTATTCCATGGTGTCATCACGTGAGTAACGCACAAGTCATGCTCAGGTGTAGAGTTTTAGTTAGCGAGAAAAGGTAGTAAATCGGTTGACACAGTTGTGAACCTTCATCGACTGAGATGGATGGCTCGGACATGTGTGTTGCATATGCATAGTCGCCGATTGCCTTATCACACAATGTGGGCCGAAGTAGGTCCAGGTTGGAAAAAGGCTCGAGACAGTCAGATTAAAACATAGTACCAATGTATGAAGTCGCTGACTGTCGGTTTGAGCCATATAGAGCGATGCAAACTGGGTGGTTGGCGTCCGTGGGACAAGAGGAACCAGTGAAGCATAGGAAATCATCTGTCAGCAGAGGTCGAGCGATTCCACCTCGTATAGTAACGGGATATTACAAGTATCAAACAAAAACCGCCTGTTTGTTTGTTCATCTATGCAATTTATATTCATCATTGACAACCACACTGTATACGCTAACTTTAATTTGAATGACTCATACTTTGAACAATGATGATGTCCAACATAATGGGAACTACAGAAAGTAATCAGTTCGGCCAATTGATATTCACCTATTGGGTCACACAGTAATCAGATTGTATCTCGTATACTTACACAGCAAGTACTACCCTTAAAACCTACTGGAAAAAATAAAAGGTGGTCAAGTAAATGTATTCATTTGCTATCTTTCTTAAACAAATATTCGCACCTTATATTATATAACGACTGATATGGTCAGTTATTCTTATTTCAATCGTCTATATGATCTTTCCTTTGAAGCTTGAATGCAATTCAACAGACACATACATGGTCATTAACTAGACATTAAAAAAAACACTAAGTCTTGATAACTCCTCTTCGGAATAGATTTAATAGTTGATAATAACTTAAAAGAGAAGGGGTGGTAATGTTAGTGATGATTGTAACACGCCTAAGAAGGAATTCGAATCCTATGTAGTGTTGTTATATAAAGAAGGTAAATTGGAAACTTTATGTAGAATTCTCAACAATACTGGGATTCAGGTGGCCGTTGGAAGTAGTCGAAAATTGTGTGTATTTGAGTAGTTATGCGAGTGCTAGTGGAGTAGTGATGAAATTTCTAACAGCATACGTCAATCTAGCCCATCTTTGGCGTTGTCATGACGTTAGCTTGACCATAAAACGTAGGGTTTACGACACTTCGGTGAAAGGATTTCTGCTCTACGTGTATGAAACTTGACCTCTCCAAGCTGAGGATGTGCAACGACTATGTGTTCGATCATCGTTGTCTACATAGAACTGTTTTTATCTTGTGGCAACACCAGTAATTCTGAGGAACGATAGCGTGTCTTTGTGCATGATGGAGATCGACATTCCATACGTGAAGGTTTATAGGGAGTAATAAGAGAACGAGTAGTAATGTTAAAAATGACTGCAACATGCCGAAGAGGGGATTCAAATTCTATGAAGAAGGTACATCGGAAACTTAATGTAGAACTCTTAACAATGCTGGGATTCAGGTGACCCATAAATCCACAAACTCATTCGTAGGGAAACCTTATAGGCTAAAAAGATCCAGTAGAACCAATAAAGATATCTGGCAAATTTTATTGCCATTAAGATGAAAGAATGAAGAACCATTGGACTATATTTAAAGGGAGTTTAAAAGTTATCTGATTAATTTGATATGAATATGAGCAGTAAATTGTACTCGAAACGTCATCCAGTTAATAATACTGTATCACTGCATTCTATAGGAAATAAACAATCTAATATGGAATTATAATCTACCACAGTGTCCAACTTTTGCTCTTACATTAGTGTTATATGAGAAGAATGGAAATAACAATAGTACTTGTAATTTTATGTCGATATACAGGGTCGAATTGCTCCACTGTGGGCAGATGGTCTCCTATTTAGATGCCTCGATCATCATCATCCATCAAAATCAACATAGGATCATACATTACCGGCGTAACGGTCCAAGTTGCTACAGAGATGCCTCGATGTTGCCGGATATTCATGGTATTGTATTCATCTTGGTGACACTCACAGTAGAATACAGGATGTGTGTTTTGTTTTGCTTGGGACTCGTTGCTTAGACGTGATGTTGTTCCCACTGAAACTTGAGCCGATTAGCTATCGTTTCAAACGCCAAAGCGTTATCTTCTAGGCCACTGGGCATAAGGTTGAGGAATTCAACGCTGTATAGTAACGGGAAGTAATAAGTACTAAACAATAACAAATAATGGTCGTTGCACAAGTGGTGGCCGTCATGACCCAGTAGATAACATTTTTGCATTTGAAGCGACGGGTAGGGCGTCCGAGTCTCAGCAGAAACAAGATCAACCACTTAGGTGCAGGCATATCCAGCTGACGAGTTTCAAGTAGGACGAAACGCACGTCCTGGGTTCCACTGCTTGCCACCATGATGAATACAACAAGAACAACAACTAACTGGTGAAAAGAAAGCTTATAAGAATAGATAGCTACAAGATAATATCTACAAAGTAACTATTTTTTCATAAAACCTCCTTCTAAAGATGAAGAATAACCAATTAAAATCTATTCAGCCAAGTTCAATCAATCAATATCAACATAGGACCAGGCATTACTGCGTAACCGTCCGAGTTGCCACACCTCATATCAGTATACCAACTAAAAAGGCAATGAGGTGAAGGATGACGATAAGAAAATGCAATCAAAAGAAATATAAAGTACGAAAAGAGAGAAATGAAGAATGAGAAAGTGGTGAGATTCGGTATAGCATCGTTAAGATGAAGATAATATATGCATACATCTGCGCCACTGACATCGGCTCTCAGCCATGTGATCACGTACAGTCTTCAACCATTGGTCCCTCTTATCCACTGACCCCAACCACCTAGTCTGCATCGCCACACATGGCTCAAACCAATAGTCAAACACTTCATACATTGGTACCATGTTTTAATCTGACCGTCTCGAGTCTTTTTCCAGCCTGGGCCTACTTCAGTCAAGTTCCCTTCTATTGTGTTATTATTGTCAAGTTTCAAACAGTATTTTAAGGTAATATTAGTCAGTGAGTGATAACCAGTTAGAGATGTCTTATGCATTGATAGAAGAAGGGGAATATGGACAGTTCGATCGCCACCCTATGACACGTGACAGTACTAGACTGAATCCCTCAAGACGTCATAAAGCAAACCATTAAAGAATCCTATACTATTAAAACGAAAGAGTTGTCCAATTAATGTCAGTCTATGTTCGATACTTCCTTGAAATCAGATTGTATACACTAGGAATGAATACAGATTACTGGTACTAAATACTTGAATTATGTTCTACAAAGAGTAAGCACGCTATCATGTTAGTAATAATACACCGTTTCTCAGGAATAATGTTTAGACTTGAAGTTATTAGAAATACATGGAATTCATGTTATACCTTAGCAACAGATAGTTACTATCCAAAATGGTATAAGATATACTTATTTGTCTTGTATCATGAAGCATACTGATAAACTAAGGAAGTTATTAGAAATGTCTCAAACATATATATATTGCCTGATCATTACATTATGTAAGTAATTATTGGTTATAGTTACTTTTTAAGAAAATTCTAAACAAAGTCTAAACAAATACGGTAAGTATATGAAGGGGTATGAAGAATAAGAAAAGGGATAGTGAATATTTGAATGATAAACTTATTGACTAAGTATTCCCTAGGCAAAGGAGAGATACTGGATGTATAAATCTCTTCTGGATACAAAGGCTAGGATTATTAGCTCGAATTCCCACAGCTACTGCTATCTGTAAAAGATGACTTTGAATACCTTCGGAAAGATGAGATGGTATGCAGTGAATAATCGTGAAAGCATTGTTCTCATCTACACCAAGTGACCACTATCAATGAGGTGAGATAAAACAGAGCTTCTGATAGATTTTATTTGTCTTTTTGCCAACCACCAGGTAGATGCTCAGCAACACGTTTGTTAAGTTGTCTAATAGTATGCCGTATATAGCTTTCTCCGTAAGAGCAGCTAAACTTGTAAATACACATAGAAATGTCAAAACTAGATACCTTATCTTTTGTCTGAGCAGCAACAATTGGTTGACTGGAAAATGATAGACAGAGTTGTGTGGCGTAGACGGTCCTTTTAATGGCTCTAGAGAGTCTCTGATATAAAAATTCTCCGGCTACATCCCCATTACATTGCAATTTCATGGGCGACGGTTTATTTTGTACGGTAATAATTCCATGTTTATTCCCCCTGGCTTTGTTCATGCATCTTTTATAAAACTGTCAGGGGAGCCTATTTCACCCAATGAATTACGAATATATTCCAGCTACTTCTGTACTAGATCATCCGAGCACATTTTTCTCGCTCTTTTAGTAAGGTATTTAACTCGGTCTGCTTTGTACCGAATGGGTACATGACTAAGAAAATATGTTTGCTGACTTATGGATGTGGTCTTCCTGTAAATAAATCTGCTAAGTGAACCATCTTCTCTTCTGCTTAGCAACACATCCAGAAAGTATAATTTACTGATATTTTCTTCTTCACAAGTGAAGGGTGCACTACATTAAATCTTCTTAACACCTCGTTTGCATCCAAATTCTGATCCAGGATAATGAATGTGTCATCAATATAACGGTGATACATTGTTATCTCATTCATGACCAACTTTAATTATCGGAGTGTCTACATTTTCATGCTGCCGTCTTGGTTCTTATCATCATCATCATTATTATCATTTATACTGCGTATGCTTTAGTCAACGTTATCACTTTTATAATTATCAGTATTATTATTACTTGTATTATTAATCGATAAATATACATGATTGATTTAATTTCATATACATATTAAGCTATTTGTATTAGAGTAAATGAAGCCTGAAGAGGATCTAATTGAAAACAATATTGTTCACTTATATACGTTTTGTTCTAATTTACATGATACGAATCTTCAAAATTTTAAAATAGGCTTGTTGTGAACACAGAAATGAGCATAAAAGTGAGTCCTTACTGTGTGTACCACTTATCTTTCATCTGAGTTCGAGTTATAAGCACTGAACAGTGAATATTCAAACGTCTACATTAGGCAATGCTCGAGATTTACTAACCAACGAACATGGATGTGAACAAATCTAATTCACTATGCAGTTTAGTAGTATACAAAGTTGATCAGGAGCTTCAGTTTTAATACTTCATAAAGTAGAATTGTGCAATTTCAAAATGCAGACTAACAAGAATTGATAAATTTCAGATATATCTGATAAAAACACCTAAACGTCATAAGGCAAGTACCAAATGTTAAATAAAACAAGGAGAACTCGATTCAGAAATTCGCTTGACTGTCCAAACCTCGTTAGATAGAGAGGCGCACACAACTGCACCAGCTCAACTTGCCATACTTCAGAGTAGTACACAAAGTTAGAAACGTTCGTATACCTGGATAGTTATGCGAGTGCTGGTGGAGGTGTTAGTGAGGACATTTCTAACCATATATCGAAAGCCAGAGTGACACACGTCAATCTGGCCCATCTTTGTCACTGTCACGATGTTAGTTTGACCATAAAACGTCGGGTTTACAACGCTTCAGTGTGAGCAGTTCTGCTCTACGTGTGTGAAACCTGACCTCTCCGAGCTGAGGATGTGTGACCACTCTGTGTTCGATTATCGTCTTCGTACAATTTATGATATCCTGTTGTTACACCCGTAATTTTGAGGTACGAGAGCATGTGGTTTGGTCATGATGGAGATCATCATTCAATGAGTGAAGTCATCTGGAAAAACTGGCTTCAATGGTTTGGACTTGTGTATGTGCGCATGTCGTCTCACGCCGTTCAGTGACTGCTAGCAATGGGGGTGGATGGGAGAAGCGGAGGGGTGGTCAGTGTATGTCGTTGGACCATGGGATGAAGGATAGTTTTACAAGGTTGCCAGTTGGCGACATCAAACTTCGAATGGGCGACATGAATGCCAAACTGAAAGCGGGAAACACAGGAAGAGAACTAACCATGGGTGGAGAAGCACTCGGTGAAATGAACGAGAATGGAGAACTGTTTCCACAATTCTGTGCATTCGACGATTTGGTGATTGGAGTGAATCAGTGTGTTCAAGCACAAGAATATCCACAAAGTGAGCGACATGGATTTCACCAGACACCAGGACAGACTAAAAATCAGATCGACTTTATCTCAATCTCAAGAAAGTGGAGACACAGCCTACTTGACACAAGGTCAAGAAGAGGAGCAGATGTAGGCTCAGACCACTCACTATCTAGTGCAAGGAACCTTCCAAATCTAGTTAAAAGCCTTCAAAGAAGTTGGTGATAGGCCGCAGTTCAAGTTCAACACCCAGAATGAAAACTAAATGATGAAACTACAAAAGACATCTTCATGTCAGCCATCAGAACAAAATGTGAGACATTGAGCAACATTCCTGAAGGATCGAGCGTGGAAGAACACTGGAAGTCTTTGAAAGAGATGTGGAAAGAAACCTGCACAACAGTATTAGGAAGGAAGAAGAAAGAAGATAAGGAATGGATCTCGATGGATACATGGAAGCTGATAGAGCAGGGAGAGGAGGATGGTGAAGCAGAAGACAAACCAGTGCAAGGATGAACGACGAGAAGAGGAACTGAGCACAATGTATAAAACACTACACTGGAGAAAGAAGTGAAGAAGAGTGCACGCAAACACAAAAGACACCTCTACGACACACTGGCAAGTGAAGCAGAACAGGCTGCAGGTAAGAGAGACCTGACGACATTGTATCAAATAACCAGGTTACCCTCTGGTAGGGAAGAGATCAACGCAGATGAGACCATGAAAGATGATGAAGGAAATTTAATTACGAAAGAAGAGAAACAAAGGAAATGATGGGTTGACTACTTCATGAAGCTCTTGAATCGACCACCACCTGCACTTCGTCCAGAAATACCACCTGCAGCCACAGAACCACAAGTTAACACAAACCCCCTAACAAAAGTCGAAGTCCTGAACTCCATAAAGCTACTGAAATGTGGAAAAGCAGCAGGACCAGATGGAATCCCGCCAGAAGCACTGAGAGCAGACGCAGAGACAACAGCGGACATGCTCACACCAGCATTGCAGAAGGTCTGGAAGGAAGGGAAGGTACCTGGCAATTGGAAGAAGGGCGACCTAAGTCTTTGCAAGAACTGGCGAGGAATCATGCGGCTGTCCACCCCAAGCCAGCAAAATATTATGCCACATCATCCTGGAGAGACAAAACGATGCGCTGGATTCAAAACTATGACCGGAACAGGCTGGCTGGATTCAGAAAGTACAAATCATGTGCGGATCAAATCGCAACGCTTCGCATCATCATAGAACAGAGTATAGAAGACGCCACATGCCAAGTAATTCACAATGGGAAGCCCAGTGATGCTTTTGAAGTGAAGTGAAGACAGGAGTAAAACAAGGCTGTCTACTACCACTCATGGTATTCCTGACTGTAGTCGACTGGATCATGCAACAAACAGTGGGGAGCGAGAAGAGGGGGATACGCTGGACTGCGGAAAAGAACCTAGAAGATCTGGATTTCGCCAGTGATGACTTGGGCCTGATGTCACACAAACTTGAAGATCTACAGGCGAAAACTAACAAGTTCACAGAAGAGACGAGGCAGAGAAAACGGGACTTCATTCAGATGAATGTAGAGAAGACAGAGGTGATGAAGATACCCAGCCAACAACACCACCAACAGCAGCAAGCCCCAACCACCATCAACAGGAGAGACTTAAAGGAAGTAGCCTCTTCCACCTATCTAGGCAGTACTGTTTCAACTAAAGGCGGCACAGACGTAGACGTCAGAGCCAGCCAGAATCGGAAAAGCAAGATAGGCGTTGGTTAACCTGAAACCAGTGTGGAGATCTTCTGCACTCAGCATGTGGAACATGATCCGGATTTTCAACACCAACACCAGTTAAGTCACTGCTTCTGTATGTCTCAGAGACTTGGCGCGTTACGAAAGGGATTTCGAACAAACTACAGACATTCATCAACAACTGCCTACGCTGGCTCGTTACTGAAGCTCAGCTGGCCAGAATGATAAGAATAAGTGACAAGGAACTCTGGGAACGAACCAACCAAGAACCTATCACCCAACGAATATGCAGAAGGAAGTGGAGATGGATTGGGCATACACTGAGAAGACCATTCGCAGACATCATGCGCCAGGCCAGGCCCTCAAGTGTAACACAGATGGGAAGCGACGAGTTGTGTGTCCAAGGATGACATGAAGGAGATCGTGTGAGGGAAAATGAAAGCTTATGGAAAGTCGTAGAACCAGGTTAGCAATACTATACAGAACAGAGTGAAATGGCGACGTGCTATTGAAGCCGTGCGTTCCACTAGAACCATAAAGGACAAATAATAATAATGACAATAATAATACTGGGTCGAATCCCTTGACCTCTGTTGGCAGATGGACTCCTGTAAGGATGCCTAGTCATATACAGCTTTGGTGGTTTAGACCTATTCATAATTTACGCTACACAGTTGTATGCAAGAAAGATCATTTAAAAATATGAAGTACAAAAAACAATAAGTCAATTTACCAAATTTTTGACAATTCTAAAGAAGGCAACTTTGATAATTCAAAATATGCCTTTGATTGTAACCCATTCAATTTTGAACGTATATCTGGTTGTAATCTAAGAAATTGAGATAAATAATATGCTTTTTGATCTGATGTAACTGCCCATGGATCTGGGATAGTTTGCATTGTTGTAATACAACTATTACTTGTTGTATTGTTTTGCATAATCGAAGTAGTCATTGAATGTGTAGCAGATACAGTAGAAGTAAGAACACTAGTAGTAGTAGTAGGCTGTTGAATGATTGATTGATCGAAACTAGACCATTTATTATATGGATCAAGTTGATATTGTATATGTTTTAACTGATATGAATTGTTCTGTGCATAATTGCTTAGATTGTCATGATCGATTGATTTCTGAGTAATAGACAGAAATGTAAATAAGATTTAGTTAATATTATTATTGATGAATAGGAAATGGTAAGGTAAACCAATTGTTATAGGATTGTGATAAATGCTTTCAATAGTTCGATCCCTGGTTCGAATCCTGTCACGGTCCAGATTTTCATCTGATATGTAGCGACAAAAAGGTAGCCAATAGGGGAGTTGTTTTCAAGTCATGATCAGATCATGTTCAGGTCATGATTTATGCATGCGCTGACATGAGAACCTGATTGCAGAAATTCGACCTCATACAAGAAAATGGATCGGTTCATTTATGGCTTCACTTTCTGAGAGTTTTGTAAATACACATTTGCCTAATAAAAGTTGCCGTCTTTTTTCTTCTTATTTTACGCGGCTCAGTGAGGCAGAAGGCACTAAGGGAGGTCAATCGTAAAGGTATTCGGTTGAGGTGTCTATTGAGTTTCAGTATCATTATACCCACCCACGCAACCCCACTCGGTCGCAACATCATCTCACCTTCAATTATCACCCCAGTATAAATACTAGTCTGCCAAACTACGGCTATCTCAGATGGCCAAGTGATAGATCTTATTTGTCAATATACATTATATTGTTTTACATTATCAGCGATTCAATTACTTTATTGGGTGACAGTGTGTCACACGTAAAAACACTTTACCACCAACGTCTATACTTCTGCTTCTAATTTTGCTGAATCCTACTTCAATAGGTTGACATGAAGTATAGCGATTCAGATCAATAAACGATCGTGTCAAACTTCATATTGTTTATGAATAACAGACAGAGTGAATAAAGGGACACTTCAATTAGGGTGGAGATCTGAAAGTTTCCAATGGTGATGGAAATTAGTTTGTGATCAATAAATGCTTCAACAGCTTTCTTCAGCCATTAGATTAAACATCGATTACTCTCAAGTAATGTACATAAGGTTATATGATTTGTAGCGTTTTTGATTCAATCACAAAACAAAGATAACACATGTAAATAACCGTCATATTATGTTAGTATGTACATCAACAAATTTAAGACAACGCGCATGCAGTTTAAGCTGTCTATCCACAACAATTGGACGACGATATGGATCAGTTGGAGGGGCAGTAATGCAGACCGTCTTTGTATATCTTTCTGTAGATCATCAATTACTTGTATCATTATACTCTTAAAGTCATCACTCTCACAATTTAGTATGAACTTAAATACATCATATTATAACTAACTACCAATAACGTAATCATATTCCAAATTGCTATTGCTTCTGAAATACCTGTATGCATATTTTACTGTGTGCTAAATCCAGCTCAGGTGTTGACCATTTCACTTACCTGGGAAGTAGGATCAACCTTCGTGGCTCAGTGGCCGACGTAATCTCTGTATGAATACAAAACGTTCAGGTGGCTTCTGCCAACTTACGTCACCTGTGACGCCGCCGTGATAACCGATTGTCTATTAAGGGTTGCATGTACTCCACAGAAGTCCACTATATAGCTGTGAAACATACCCATCGAAGGTATAAGATATGAGAAAGCTGGCTTCAGGTGTTTCACCACCGTCACCTTCATACTATAGACCGTATTCCATGGTGTCATCACGTGAGTAACGCACAAGTCATGCTCAGGTGTAGAGTTTTAGTTAGCGAGAAGAGGTAAATCGGTTGACACAGTTGTGAACCTTCATCGACTGAGATGGATGGCTCGGACATGTGTGTTGCATATGCATAGTCACCGATTGCCTTATCACACAATATGGGCCGAAGTAGGTTCAGGTTGGAAAGAGGCTCGAGACGGTCAGATTAAAACATGGTACCAATGTGTGAAGTGTTTGACTATTGGTTTGAGCCATGTGGGGTGATGTAGATTGGCCGGTTGGGGTCAGTGGGACAACAGGAACCAGTGGTTGGAGACTATAGGTGTTACGGCTCAGAACCGATGTCAGTTGGGGGCAGATGTATGCGCACATTATCCTCATCTTAACGCTTTACCGAATCTCACCATTTTCTCATTCTTCCTTTCTCTCCTTTCTTACTTTATATTTCTTGACTGGATTTTCAATTCTTCATCTTTTACTTCAGTGCCATTTTACTTGATGTAGTGATATGAGGTGTGGCAACTCGAACCGTTGCGCAGTAATCCCTGGTCCTATGTTGATTTGGATGATGATGATCTCAGGTCTTCATTGATCATCAAAACCGTTGTCTTAAACGGATTGAAATATGAAAATCAGTTCTACTCAGTATCACAACTGAACGCAATACCGCGTTAGCGTCAACACTAGCTCTTGAGCCTTCAGAGACTATAGATGAGCGTCGGCTGCGTCTACAAGAAGTTATGAAAAGGGTGACAAAACCGTCCGATACTTCCAAGAAGATCCTGCAAATAAACATTAGGTCTCTGAGGAATCTTTGCAACTTCCTGATCCTCATCGATTTATCTATAAGGACAGTAATATGAGTAAGTTTCGTAAAAGTAAGATTATAAAATGAAATGGTAGTCTCGCTTTCAAAACATGCGATTGAGATGCAAACTGTTGCCACATATCATGATAACTAGAAGCCACTCAACCTTATTGTCTAACGAACGTTGGCTAAATGTCACTGAAATCCTATATGACGTAGATGGTATGCTGATCAACAACCACCAAATACATATGAAACTCTGGGCGTAACACTCTATAAAGCAATTTACCTGGCCTACAACTCCATGAACTTAAATCGTAACATGTTATGCTCTATGCTAGGTTAACACTAAGTGTAACTTCGTCATGCAAGACATTCTGAAGACAAACATACGAGATATGTATAGAGGTGCTGCAGATCCACTACCACCTAAAACACATTTCCATCTGAAGTATGTCAACTGCACTATCACACTGCATCACGATATACAAGTTCTCTAACTCACACTTTGAAGATTCGTCACGAATGCCCGTCAAACTACACCATTCATATCGCTCCAGAAAACTTAAAAGCATTTTCACAAGCTTACCAGGATCCTGTACCTACCTCCATTCACACTTCCATATAAACCATCAGAAGTAGACTAAACGTTTGTGCTCATCAGTAGTTCACACACTGTTCAAATTACACTGTTCTCTAATTTTAGGTTTTTGTTGCAAAACTGATTCAAGGCCAGACAGACACAAACATCACAAAAAGGTGGAGAGAACTGACTGACCATGGATATCTACAACATGGTAACCTTTTTGTTCTTTTCGTATCTACATGTAACCTGAAGCTGAGGGGTTGACACTCCGACGCATGCCTGAGTAAAGTACACTGAAGTTGACTTCTTCAAATGAACTGACGAAGATAGTGAGATCTGACTGGTTCACGTTTCTGGTCTCAGACGACGAAGTGGCATATTATCAATAACCATCCATAGTCAACTTTCTCGTGAAGCACTCAGAACGAATTCCGACATAAAGTGAAGCGTTTACCAAGTGAAACGCTTACTCATAGTACAGCTCAATCCAAACATCAACAATATGACCTGAGAATATTCTGCATCATTCGTACTAAGAACAGTGTTGGTGGATGCATGACAAATGATCAGAGTAGCACACGCCAATCTGGGTAACCTTCGGGGTCTTCGTGATGCAGGCATTGTTGTGAAAGGTCAGGTGTACAGCTCAATGGTGTTACAAGTTCTGCTGTTAACCTGTGAATACTCCCATGTCAAAGCTTCATATGTTTACTAACTATGAGTGTTCGATCACCCAAGAAGATATCAAAGGGTGAATATATATGAACCATCGTGACCGATTTTCAGCCATTTCACTAAATGTCTACAACCACTGACTTCTGCCACCTCCAGGACCCCCACGGTCAGCCAGGTAGTATACGCTCCCTGCCCTACACGGCTGAGATCAGTATTCAAAGACCGATACCACCTTTTAGTCTGGCCAACACTGCACATAGAAGTAGGTAGTAAATCATCATACGGAACACAAGTCCAAGCCACCTCGGTCACTGAAGCTTAACAGCCTCATCGACTGACTTACCTTGCTTACCTAGTCATTCTCCACCTAACCTTTACACTTCTCGCACAGTGACTACACCATAGGTGAGCAGCGCTATGAAGATGCCTGTGGTTAAAAATCTGTCATATCGCCTAACTCTAACGGCAATGTCTCGCAGCCGTATATTAACATAGAGAGGACAGCAGTGCAGTATACTCGTCTGTTAACAGGTAGCTGGATATCTCGCCGGCGCCAAAGATCAAGCAAGCTAGCAAATGTCAAACAAAGAGATTTACAACGTTAAAAGAAAATGTTTTCCATGAATATTAACTGCTATAAATCCTTACATTTGCTATATATAATTATTGGGAAAGAAAGATACCAACGCCTTATATTTGAATGAGAGGTTGGAATTAACGTCGTTAACACAGTGATAGAGATAATAAAAAAAGACTGAATTTGATTGAATATAAATTCACTCATGAATTAGAAATTAGCGATGTTGGATTACAAAATAAAACGGAAACAAAGTAGAAGTTTAGACACTAGTGTCTACAGAAAACCATCACATTCAAATCGTCTCACCCTATGTCAGTTAAACTTGGCTTACTAAATTCACTAAGTAACAGGGCCAAAACGCTCACTAGATCTAGATACATTAAACATACCTGACTCATCAACAATTAACCTCCCAAATTAATTCATAACCTCCTTAGGAATCGTAAGAAAAACATAAGTAACACACGTATTAATAGTAGTAATGATGCTAATAACAGTGGTGGAAATACTATGAACACAGCATTTAAAACCTCTACAGTATTAACACACAAAGAAGGCACCTCAGAAATACTACGTACCATTCTCAATAACACTGGCTACGATTACAGTGGCATTTAAGCCTAAAAATTCATTTCGAAATAGGCTTTGTAGGTTAAAAGATCCTATTGATTCAATTAAGCCGAATAACTCAGTTTACCCGATCCCTTGCAACGATTGCGACGTCAAATACATAGGTCAAAGTAGTCGACCAGGCTCAGTTAATTAGGCCATCCGAGCACAGAAAACTGGCTACGTCAAAATTTGTAGATCCTAGTAAAGTAAAGGATTTAGGAAAAACCTCAGCCCTAGCTATGAATGCGAGAATACACAACCACATAATAGGATGTGACAGGGTGAAAATTCTTAAAACTAACATAACAGGATGGATGAAGAGATTGATAACTGAATCTTTGTTTGTCGAATCAACACCTATTACATGCAACAGGAATGACTAAGTACCTGTTCGGGATATATTGAAGATCATACTACCCATCTCATATGGAAGGCAAGAAAATTAGGACTATATAAAGGATATCTTAAAGTTGTTATCTTGATTTGACTATGGACAATGAATCAATGTTCGGAATGTAATCCAGTAAACAATACTATTCCTTCACTGTGTGATAAATCTAATGAGTCAGTAAAAATGTAATTAAATTATATTAACTTTAAGATGTTCCACTGAGGTGATCATATAACTCTCCTATAAAAATCGATTTACAATGAGTTCATATGCCATAAATGCGAGAGACTGCAATAGAGATTCTGAAGAATTGTTTAAAGATGATATTATTATTCTTGAAATCTGGATTATCTTCTCCAGCTAAATTATCCATGAATGATTTAACAATAGGCTGTCATTTTAGATTCATCATCATCATCATCATCATCATTATCATTATCAACATAGGACCAGGCATTACTGCGTAACGGTCCGAGTTGCCACACCTTATATCAGCACATCAAGTAAAAAGGTAGTGAGGTGAAGGATGAAGATAAGTGAATGCAGTCAAAAGAAATATAAAGTATGAGAAGAAAGGAAAGAGGAGTGACAAAATAGTGAGATTCCTCCAATATATGTATATCTACAAGTTTAATTGCTCTGATAGAGTTGGTTATGGAAATGTATTTTAAAAGATACATCTACACAATAAATTCAACAAAACATTAATGATATGAAGATTAAAAAAATCCAATGATTACATACCACTTCTATAGATTTCATAGGTTGTTCAGGTGAATGATATGATGCAAAAGGTAGTAGTAATGAATTTGATAGATTATTCAATTGATCAGGAGAATTAACCGAATGTAAATTAGAAAAATGTGAATTCAACACTGGTTGACAGAAAAAAGATGATCCTTCAGTAGGAAAATAGGCTATATGTAAAGAATTTAAATAAAAACAACAACGGTTATATATACAGCAAGATAACAGAAATAAAAGGTGATAATGAAATTTACTGAAATAATTTTACATATAAAGGTCAAAAAATTCATACAAGCCTATTTTTCATTGATTACTTGTAGGATTTCGATTTATATAGTTATTAGACAGTTTTTGGAGAGGCTTAAAGATGCACTGGATTCAAAATAACGACCGGAACAGGCAGGTTTCAGGATGTACAAATCATGTGCAGACCAAATTGCAACGCTACACTGAGCATCATCATAGAACAGAGCATAGAATGGCAATCAGCTCTCTACCTCAACCTGATCGCCTTTGAGAAGGCCTTTGACAGCGTCGACCGAGAAGTAATTTGGAAACTGCTTCAATACTAAGGAATACCACATACCTTTATCATCCTCATTCAACAACTATATGAAGATGCCACATACCAGCCAAGTAATTCACAATGGGAAGCTCAGTGATGCCTTTGAAGTGAAGACAGGAGTGAAACAAGGTTGCCTACTATCCCCCATGATATTCATGATTGTGGTCGGCTGGATCATGCAGCAAACAGTAGGCAGCGAGAAGAGGGGGATACACTGGGCGGCGGAAAAGAACCTAGAAGACTTGGATTTCGCCAACGATGACTTGTGCCTGATGTCACATAAACTTGAAGACCTGCAGGCAAAAACTAACAAGTTGATAGAAGAGGCAGCGAAGACGGGACTTCCTTCAGGTGAATATAGAGAAGACGGAAGTGATGAAGATACCTCACCACCACCACCAACAACAACAACGGGAGAAACTTAAAGGAAGTAACCTCCTTCACTTATCTAGGAAGCACTGTTTCAACTACAGGCAGCACAGGCACAGATGAGGGTGTCAAAGTCAGAATCGGGAAAGCAAGACAGGTGTTCATTAGCCTGAAACCAGTGTGGAGATCTTCTGCACTCAGCATACAGCGTGAACAAGATACGGATTTTCAACACCAACCCAGTCAAGTCAGTGCTCCTGTATGGTTCAGAGACTTGGCGCGTCACGAAAGGGATTTCCAATAAACTACAGACATTCATCAATAACTGCTTACGCTCGCTACTGAAGATCAGATGGCCAGAAAGAATAAGCAACAAGGAGCTCTGGGAACGAACCAACCAAGAACCTATCACGCAACAAATATGCAGGAAGAAGTGGAGATGGATTGGCCATGCACTGAGAAGGCCGACTGAGGACATCACGCGTCAGGCCAGTTGCTCGAGTGGAATCCCCATGGGAAGCGACGAGTTGGACGTCCGAGGGTGACATGGAGGAGGTCATGCGAGGAGGAAATAAGAGCTTCTGGGCTGTCGTGGAACCAGGTTCAAAAGATCTCAGACAACAGAGGTCACTGGAGACGTGCTACTGAAGCCCTATGTTCCACTAGGAACTCAAGGGACTAATAATAATAATAATAATAATAGTAATAATAATAATAATTAGACAGTTTTTAAATGTCGCCTATAAGTATGTAGAATCTATGAAAATACCATGGTGGAAAACAATGCACATTCTGGACTCCATCTATTCATATCAACATAGGACTAGGCATTACTGCTTAACCGTCCGAGTTGTCACACCTCATATCACTACAACAAGTAGAGCGACAATGAAGTAAAAGATGAAGAATTGAAAATCCAGTCAAGAAATATAAAGTAAGAAAGGAGAGAAATGAAGAATGAGAAAATGGTGAGATTCGGCAAAGCGTTAAGATGAGGATAATGTGTGTATACATCTGCCCCCAACTGACATCGGTTCTGAGCCGTAACACCTAGAGTCTCCAACCACTGGTTCCTGTTGTCCCACTGACCCCAACCGGCTAATCTAAATCACCCCACATGGCTTAAACCAACATTCTGAACTAATTCTTATTGGATTAATGCTGAAATCTAAGTTCAATCAGTGCTGCTACAGTTTGTTATAAGCATATATACTGATTAAAGCATGCTGAGATATAGCTCACCAGGATGACTTATACTGAAGTTAAGTCGATGCAATCAACGTTTCATTGCAGACCTATACACTAACACCTCGTGTAACACAACAAAAGGTTTAAAGTACTGAATTACGAATAGAAGATCATCAGATAAAAAGTAGATAGAAATTAAGCGTTACATCTTTCATTCAATGTAACAAATTTTAATGGTACTAATGAACATAAAATCTCTATTTACATAACATCACAATCTTTACAGGATTTGAGTTTGAAAGACTAACGGTGGCTGCAGGCGTTAAGACGGTAGAAGTGTTGGTAGTATGAGTGGTGAAAGTGGATGACGATGCCAGAGACGTAAATATATGAAGAGAGACAGATGATTACTGCTATGATTATCATTACTATTACTATGACACAAACTTGGTACAGTGCGACACAAAACAATAAAACAACGCACCATGAAGGTATAAAGTGAAGGGAAGTGGATTAGAAAGGCAGTCCAATAAGATACATTCAAAGCAAAAAATGTATTACTTCTCACTAGCAGATAGAAGGAAGCTACAGCATGATCGCCACTGATTTCAATTCTGAACCAGATCTCATAGGGTGTGGTGGTGGAATATATCGACCACTTCACTTAAATGGGGAGTTGAATCAACTAAAACGGACCGCTTGCTAACGAGATCTCAGCTCAGATACAGAAGGTCTACTTGGCACTTGCCAACTGGTGTCACCTATGGCGCCGACTGGTGAGATATTCAACTACCTATCAAACAACCAGTATACTGTTCTGAAGTCCAGTCTCTCCTCTTATATCGCTGAGACATGACCCTTAAAAGTTAAAACACGAAACGATTACTGGGTTTTGATCATAGGTGTTTTCGTAGCATTACTCTCGTTTGGTGAAATCACCGTATGAGCAATGTTGAGGTCAGGTGAAGGGTACTAGGCAAGACAGAGAGGCACGTCGATTAATGAGGTCATGAACCTTAGTCGATTAAGAGGGCTTGAACATGTGTTATACATGCAGAGCTACTGCCTACCTCGTTGTGTCATGCTGGGGGAAGTTGTATTAGGTTGGAAGAGTGGCTCCAGTCGATGAAGTCTCTCACTGTTGGTCTGAGTCGTGTGGGGCGATGTGGACTGCCTGGTTGTGGTCCTTGAGACGATAGGAGTCAGCAGCTGAGAACTTATGATGATGAGATGACTGAAAATGGGTCACAATAACGCAGATGTATTCACTCTTTGACATCTGCAGTCTAAATATTCACACTAACCGTTTTCTTCAAATTGTTTATTCTGTCACACAACTTTGTCTACTTCGATATCCCTCCTTTTCTATTTGCCTTTTCCTTGTGTACTACTGAGAAGTGTGGCAAGTCGAGCTGATGATCGTGTGTGAGAGATCCTACGTTGATTTTATCAGTGAGTCATATATGATAACGTCTCAAGCCACTGAGTTGGATGACCTCTCGACCCCAGCTAGCGAGTTGTGATGCAATAACAGATGCTAACCTCATAAAACTATCCTTCATCCCATGGTCCAACGACATACAATGACCACCCCTCCGCTTCTTCCATCCACTCCCATTGCTAGCAGTTACTGAACGGCGTGAGATGACATGCATACATACACAAGTCCAAAGCATCGAAGCCAGTGTTTCCAGATGACTTCACTTATTGAATGACGATCTCCACCATGACCAAACCACACGCTCTCGTACCTCAAAATTACGGGTGTAACAGCAGGATATCATAAATCGTACGAAGACGATAATCGAACACAGAGTCGTCACACATCCTCAGCTCGGAGAGGTCAGGTTTCACACACGTAGAGCAGAACTGCTCACACTGAAGCGTTGTAAACCCGACGTTTTATGGTCAAACTAACGTCGTGACAGCGACAAAGATGGGCAAGATTGACGTGTGTCACTCTGGCTTTCGATATATGGTTAGAAATATCCTCACTCACACCTCCACCAGCACTCGCATAACTACCCAAGTATACAAACTTTTCGAATACTTACAACGCCTCATTATTGAGGGTGAGGGCAGACACAGGCTCCTGACAACCTTCCAAAAGTACTTTGCACTTCGATGGTGAAGAGCACATACCATACCTTACAGACACATTGCCAACTGATTAAGTGCGGTTTGAGAAGCTAAAGTGATAATATATATCACGACAATAACGCTGGAAAGTTTAACACGCTGAAATGTCATACTGCCGAAAGTGATTCTTCATGAATTGACAGGATAGCTTTGACTAGTTACCATGCAAGTAGTAATCACTTCAAATATGATATAAAGTGGAAGCAATCACGATGAAGCAGTTTTGTTTTACTGCTTGTGTTGAATTCATTTTAGTGCTCTAGTAAAGTATTATGCCTTGAATCTATTTTCACTGTAAAACAGTCTGTGCCACTGTTTCCGTGCCCAGATATTCACCTAGATAATACAAACGAATGGGCACTACAATGTAGACTGTCATGCAAAAGCGCATCAGATGAACCACTAAAGCAATGTGCAAAAAAAGTGAATTATTATAGGTCTATAAACGTAAAAGAGAAGTAATTAAAACTCTGTAAGTACTCATAAAAACAAACACTAATGGTCACGTTAAATTTTACGAAAGAATATTACTAGTAACATGAAATAAATGAATATTTAGAGATGTATTTATCATGCTTTAGATAACACTTACAATAAGAGGTACAAATAGGAACTGAGAGAGGGTTTCGAATCATGGAACTGTCATCATTATCGTCATCATCAAACTGAGCCCACGATTCTTGGCCATGACGTACTTGTTCCATTTCTGGGAGTAATCAGCACCACCAGACAAACGATGAAGTTCACATTACCAACAACTGAAAAACAAACACGCTTGTTTTGTGATAAATGCACAATCAGTTGACAAAATATCTACAAGTATGTATATTTGCAGGTGAGGAGCTTTTAATCTTGAAGTCTTTTCACCGAACGCTGTGAAATATTAGAAAATGTCGTTTTTAAAAGCTGATTTGATCTGTACATAGAAGTGTGCTAATATATCAGCATATTAATTGAATAGAGGGAATGGGCAGGAAGTCCTGGACCTAAGTTTCATGCTTTCTGGTATTCATCAGCAAGGCCCATCTGCAACCTCTAGGGAACTGATGTCCCTCCTGAGATTTAAACCCGCATCACTAAGTGCTGCAGTCCGAGACGTTACCACTGAGCCATTTGGGCCACGACTGACCCCCCGTAGGACTAGATTACATACATTGATCGGTCGTTTGAGGGTAACCAACTTCATGTTGTCTGGTTTTAAGTGCTGATTTAATTCTTTCGATCATTTTGCAATGTGGTCACCAGATTAGGAGACTAACCATTGGGACGCACTGAGCCGGATGTTAGTTGAATGGAGGCTACCTTAATCGATGAAGGTTCACAACCTCATCAATCGACTTGCTAGCTTGTCTTGCTACGAAGACATCTGTGATCAAAACCCTGTAGTCGATTCACGCCTTCTACTTTTAACGAGCGTGTTTCACAGGCACCGAAGATTTCGTAAATCAGTAAAGAAATACCAAGAGTTTCTAGTTACATGGTTGGGTTGACACTTTATTTTCCTCTGGAAATCAAAACGATTAATACCATTAACTTACAATTCCAGTCATATCCCAAAACTGAATCCAGCTAGTGTGTATTTGTATTGGATCTACTACTAATGGATACTGAAAGGCAGTTAAGTCAACTTAGGAGCCTGCAAAGAAGTGGAGCTGTTCAAGTTGCAACAGCTTACAGTAATATTTAAAGATGTGGATAGAAAAAGGATGACACTAAAGTTAACAAAAACATACCAGAAGAGAAACATGAAATACATCGTCAATGAAAACGCTCAAGTGTACATAGTTGCTCCACTGTAACTAATGTCGAACCATACTAGCAAAAGTTTCCAAGCATTGATTCCTGTCACCTCGGCTTCACTACACAGACTACATTCCCCCTGCTGGCTGAGGTCAGTAGTCACAGGCTCTATGGACTGGTATCATACCTTAATCTGGTCACATCAAGCTATCGTTTAGCTAAGTCCTGCTTCAGATAACATTCCATATCAAGATACGTGGTGGCTCGGTAAGCACAACATATTTTAATCGATGAGAGTTGAGAAGTCAGGCATTTTTGTACTACATCACGTCATATGACATAGAACTGTGGCTTATTAGTTTATGCATCTAACTTTCAACCAATGGGTCACAGGTTCAAACACCACTCCACCTGCGGAGGTTTGGGCAACCAGACAGTATCATTAGGCCTCACAATAGGTTCGATTCACTGCCTACATCACGAATGTGAACAAGGTTCGATACATGACATGTGCGAACTTATGAAGCTATTTAATTGCAAAATATATCAAGGACGTCACTCAACATCGACATAGAACCTGGCATCACCGTGAAACATTCCAAGTTGCCACATGAAATATCGAAGTCGAAATTCATTCAGTAATTTTGTGCACATTCATAAAGTAGACCATGAGCAACACCTATTGTGTGAGGGCCAATGATACCACTTAGCTGTTCGAACTTCAGTAAGCGGCACTAAGTTTGAATCCATGACCCATCGGTTGGAAACTAAGTACCGATTTGTTGCCATGCGGTGCTCAGTTTGAGAACATAAATTCCCCTAAATGGAACAGATAGGCGGTCCAAAACCTTATGGACTGACGTCATGATTTATTTTAGCCGAATTCAACCTCCTGGAAGTGAAGATAACTTCAGATGACATTTCATGATGGAACAGCTGCTGACTAGACATGCGTAAAACGTGTTCTACTCACTTCAGTCAAGGAAATTACATGGCCTCAATATGAGACTCCAAATCTGATCACTTCATTATCCGTCTGACGATTCCGAAGCACGAGATAATTGTGGATGAACAACCAAACCCTTTCCATGTCACCTACCTTCAATTGGTGTTTCATAGCTATGTAGGACAGTAAACTTCTGCACAGTACAGTCGGCAACGGGATATCTTAAGATTAGCTACTGGTTTGCTTGGAAAACCTATTGTGGTAGCTTACTATTTCCATCCAATTAAGACGTAAGAATGGAAACCTGATGCTTTCTTACTACCCTTTTATTTACCATCGAGAAATTTCTTAGTCGTTCTCACTTCAACAATACACGCTGATAAAAACAGATAGATGACAAGCAGTTTCACAAAAAGCACAAACACCATGACTAGTGCACAATTCGGATGTTGCAAAACTATTTGCTTTGACGTACGATTTACTGACGAAATAAGTGCTCCAGCTGTTTACGAAGTACAAAGTTATTTCGATTTTGTCGTTTAATTGTGTTGGTAAGAGTTCAGTTATTCTGGATATTTACTATGATTAAAAAGTATACACCAGCAAATGAAAGTTTACTAGTTCGAGTAAATAACGCTGCATGCACAAAGAATAAGGTTCAACTCGGATGTCATTTACGCTAACTGTTGGTCCCAGCCGCGTTAGATGTAGACTGCCTGGCTGGGATCCCCACGACGATAGGAACCAGTGGTTAAGAACTCTTGGTGACAAGGCAAAAAATAGGTCATAACGAGGCATATATATTCACTCTGACGTCCTTTAAGGCTTGAATAATCGCACTTACCTTTATCCTCAGACTGCTTATTCTTACACAGCATCGTCTACCTTGATATCACTCTTTTCATCCGTATACTACTGTGAAGTGTGACAACTTGAACTGGTGCACTTGTACGCGAGGTTCTACCTTGGTTTTGTCTCTGCCTATTTACTCTTAGGGTGTACTAGACGCACAAATACCACCAACCGCGAATATGAATTTCATTCTTTCCAAAGGTGAAAATACAAATCTGTTAGTCATAAACAAAACACGCCTGATTAACTAGTTCAACAGTTACTAGCCGGATCTAAGCCCCGGTAAAAAGGGAAGGTCAGCAATACGGCTAGCAATCCTACCCCGTAAAACCGATCCAATAACTGAAGAAACTTCACAGGTAACCGTGAGAAGCTGGCAAATGGTTACAAGCTGACTGGACCGATGAAAAGACGCCCGAAGATGATTTGGATTTCGCCGATGATTTATATCCAATGTCGCAGAAACTCGAAGATCTACAGGCGAAAACTAACAACTTGACAGAAGAAGCAGAGAAGATGGGACTTTAAGTGAATGTGGGGAAGACAGAGGTGAAGATACCCAACCAACAACAGCATCAAAAACAAGAGGCACCAATCACCAGTAACGGGAGAAACCCAAAGGAAGTGGTCTCTTTCACTTACTTAGGCAAGGAAGAATCGTTTCAACTACAGGCAGCACAGGCACAGACGGGGATGTCAAAACCAGGATCGGAAAGACAGCAAGAAGGGCTTTCATTAATCTGAAATCAGTGTGGAGATCTACTGCACCCAGCACAAAGAATCAGGTCCGGATTTTCAACACCAATGTCGAATCAGAGCTTCTATGTGACGATTCAGAAACTTGACGCGTCACGAGAAGTACTTCCAACAAGCTACAGATATTCATCAGCAGCTGCCTACGCTGGCTCGATACTGAAGATAAGGTGGCCAGAATAATGAGAACAAGCAACAAGGGACTCTGGGAACGAACCAACCAAGAACCTATCACCCAACAAATATGCAGTCGAAGACAGTGGAGATGGATTGGGCATACACTGAGAAGACCGACTGGGGACATCACGTGCCAGACCAGGTCGTCGAGAGGAATCCAAAGGGGAAACGACGGGTTGGGCGTCCGAGTTGAGGTTGACGTGGAGATCATGTGAGGAAGAAATGAAAGCTTGTGGGCAGTCGTGGAGCGAGGTTCAAAAGACTGCAGAGAAGAGAGAGCAACGGAGATGTGCTACTGAAGCTGTATGTTCCACTAGGAACCCAAGGGAAAAATTACTAATAAATGATAATAGTCACAAACATGTGCATGTATGGTTAGGAGTGTAAACAACGAGATTGCAAAGAAGTGAAAGAGTTAGAACACGAAGGGCTCTTCTTTCGTCAAAGTTGAATACAGACTATTTTGGACTATAGGATATTTATGGTATGGTGATTTGATCTCCAGAATTTCTTTTGAGCATTATATTGGTTTGACTAACTCCGATTTGTTATCACTGTACAACAAAGTGTCTAATAACATGCATTGATATCAGAAATGTTAAGAGGCTGGGGTGTCCAAAACAAATGAGTGGAAGTTTTTAACGCTCGCTCATGATTATTCAGACATCACAACCAACCAAATACACTTTTAGGAAGATAATGGAAGAAATATAGAATTTTTCCGTCGTTTTAGCGACCACCAAAAGACTGTGAAGTGGTCATCCAAGTTGAAGGTGACTGCCTGGACTTTCTAGGAAGCTTCGAATCATTGAAACGATGACACTGACTATATATAGGCTTATACATAATTTTGGCGATGACAGTTTTGATACAAACAAACGGCGTCATTCTTCATACTACTATCTTGCACTATCTTTTAATTCGTAACCCGTTTTTATGTGCTTGCATTTCCTACTAAGGATAAATTTGTAAACAGAAAGTTGGTATGGCAGTACGCTTTACGACTAGGTTGCACACCTAAGAACCTAATCACAAACTTTAAGTCTCTAAACCCTATCATTTGGTCCAAAGTGTTTTTATTAGACATTGACATAACGCGACAACGAAACAGGTGTTCTGACTTCATATTCAAGTTCTGTACTTTAAAATCAGGTTTTCATCTAATTTTACTAACCTTATACCCTATAAATTCTCGAATTCTTTCAGGAGGTTTTGTGCGAATAACTTAAAGGCGAC